ATATGATGGCCCTATGAAATAATTTTTAAGTCCATTTATTACCTTTAACCAATAACGACATCAGGTCTGAGCCACAAGCAGTCTGTAGCCAAGATGAGCTGCTTTTAACCTCTAATTTAACAAACCCAACTTAACATTTTTTCTACACACTAAACATTTCCTAGTCTAGCTATGCCTCTTTTATCAACAGCCCACTAACAGTGACAATTTTGCTGATTTTACTCCATAGTGACAATTTAACAGATTTTACTTAACATTTTGCTCCACACACTAAGCATTTCTTAATAATTTAACAGACTTTCCTTAACATTTTCCTCCACACACTAAGCATTTTCTGAGCACAGCCCAGGAAAGCTTCTGTTATTTCAAATCAATCACTAACAGAAAAAATTTAACAGACTTTTTTAACATTCTCCTCTATACACTCAGCATTTTCAATATATTTAAGCCCACATTTTTTCTGACTCTAGGCAAGTTACTCAAAAACTGCCTCATTTAAGTTAGGCAACTCCCGAAAGCTTTAAATCTCTCAATTTCTTCCAAAAGTCTCACTTTGCTGTATTATTCATGCACAGGGCCTTATTTTTTTTTTTGGTAACCTGTTTCTAATCGCTGCTGCCGCTGTCGCTGGTGCCCGTTAATTACAGCAAACAAGCTGCATTCTAATCAAAGCTGGCTCCATCATAGCCTCGCATCATCATTCAGTTGGCTTGATGTGTGCGCTCGTCCTCCCATTGGCTGCTCTAATTAACTGCAGCTGCCCCAATCGGACTAACTGGGACAGGCCATGGAGCCGCATTTGAAAAGGCTTCAATGGTTGACAAAATGTGTCAGCAGCAGCAGCAGCAACAGCAGCAGCAACAGCAACATCAACAACATGCTGCCACGAGGCAAATGTAAACAACTTTCACTGGACGCTCGCTGTGAAAAGCGTTCAAGAATCCATTTGCACTGCGATGCCCGGGAGCGCGATGCCAAATGCTCCCGTTGCTGGGGCACAGCCAGAAGTCAAGAGCAAGCGTAGGGCGTCTGGCCACGCCCACAATAATAGAGTGCGAGTGAAAAGTGGGCGTTGCAGATGGGACGCCAATTAAAAGCGAAAACGTTGCAAAAAATAGCTGATGACATTAATTGACATTTAGCTGCGACGGGCATATCAATGCGCCGGACAGCACAATCAGCCCCAAGGCAAAAGACCAGCTGGGGACGCCGGCTGGCTGTTCGACTGTTCGACTGGCTAGAGCAGGGGAAACAACTTTTAGCCATTTGCTGTAATAGGTAGTAATACTATGGACTAGGCCGCCTTTCACTTGGCCGCTCCACGCTCCAAGCTCCACGCAATTGTACAATTGGCAAAATGTCACAAAATCGAAAAGGCAGTTGTCAGCGTTGCCTGTGGACGTGGGACTCCCATCATTAGCGTGGCACAATTGCGAGATGTGTAATTGCTGCAACAGCAACAACAACAAGTAAATACAACAACAGCAGCAGCAACAACAACAACTGGCAGACATGCAGACGACACATTGACAGCGAGTTATGTCAAGTCGAGCGCGATTTGTTTAGCTCGAGCGCTGCCAATGAGAATTTTTGCAACATAAATAAATGTAAGCAACAAATTGAAAGGGAGATGGCAACAATTGAGCAGGCACTCACTCTCTCTCTCTCTCTCTCTCTCTCTCTGTCTGTCTTGCTCTTTATTTATTTGTGCAGCACTCTCTGATAATTGGTGGCACAACGCAACGCACAAGCGAAGCATCCACAGCCGAACGAGTCCTCGCCGCAGCGCAAAAGTGCGCGACAAGATTTATAAGCGGCTGTCAACGTAGCTGCAACGTGGTTGCAACTTTGTGGCAAGCGCTTTTTGATTTATAAGCAAAATGCAGCCGCTGCTGCTGCTGCTGCGTGGCCAACCACGGTCCAGTGTATTTATGAAACATTTCAAGCCAGCGGACACACAGCTCCTTGAACAGCGTCCAGGAACGGGCACCGGGCACCGGCCTACTTGTGTAGGCAGTTGACATGGCCGCGGCGGTGCAGCGGTGCCGGCCTGGACCCGCCAGTAAGTAGCCGCCGTGGCGGCAGTAATTGCGCCGGCATGTGAAATATGAGATAAACTCCAAGTAAGGCTCCAGTAGCAGCAGCACCAACAGCATCAGCAGCAGCAACAGTTGCTGTGGTGCAGCGGAAACTTTCAAGCATGTGGCAAGTTGTTCAGAATCGCAACTAGCCGACAGGCGCGACAGTAGCTGACTTTGGCGAAAGAGAAAGACAGGCGACGACAGCGTTTTGGTGCCACATTGCGGCATGCGAAATAACTTCGCACAATTGAGCATGCCGACAGACAGCCAAGAGAGTCAGAGCCAAGAGTCACAGCCATTGCCGGGAGTCAGTGTCAGAGACTGTGTCAGTGCCAATGCCAATGCCAGTGCCAGTGCCAGTGCCAGTTAGTTGCAACACCAAACTTGGACATTCTATTAAATTAATCGTCAATTATCAATGGGCCACTGAGTGCGTCGATAAATTGCATGTGAACTCTCTGAAGCAGCTCCAAGCGTACCTAACGGCCAAATCAATTTAACTGCATGTCTAATTAAGCCACAATTGCCAAACTACAAGCACTCCAATTGCACACACACACACACACATGCACACACACACATACGTACTGCCACTGTGTGTTGATTTTGTTTCGAGTGCTGCCAAAAAACTTTGCATGCAATTTACACGAACGCCTCCTTCAGCTGCCAATGTGTTTAATTAAATAGCAAGCGTAATTAAATCGCAATTAAATTAATTAAAAAGCACGCAGCCCATTGCCCGACGGCTTTGAAGAGGGTTTCGGCAGCTTGGCCGTTTAGTTTAGGGTCTGGCCCCACTTCCACCCCCCTGCTCAATCCCTGGCAAAAGAAAAAACAAAAATCGTGTAGCCGCCTCAACCCGAACCTGGCAACTGTTAACGTGGCTTTGTGTACAATTAGGCTTTAATTTTTTATGAGCAATAATGAATGCGTTCACAGTTTTCCATTTTGGTGTTAAATGCCCGATTGAGGCACCGATAACACCGTTAGCACTGAGGCACATTCGCGTAGCTATGCAAATTTCATTGGCCATCTAGCCAAAAACCGGCTCGCTTTGATGTCGTACAGCGGGGCGTGGCTGCAGGCAGCTCATGTTCTCATTTACGCAACGATAGGGGTCTCAGGGAAAGTTCAGACCAACAAGTCCACTCAACGGCATCCAGGCCAATAATAATAATCATAATCAGATGCGGGCCCAAAGGACGTGTGTGTGTGTGTGTGTGTGCATTTAAGCTTATGAATTACGAATAAAGTTTTTGGCAGAGCTGCTGCTGCTGCTGCCATAATTTGTTTAATTAAGAAGACATATTTTCATATGCAAAACTTCGACTTTTGGCATGCGCACATGCTGAATTATGTAGCACATATTTATGCATGCTGCCAAAATACATAGTTTTGAATAATTCAAATGAAACTGTGCAAATCAATGCGAAAATGTCAAAAGCTGTAATTAAAATGGAATGCAATATTGGGCAGCTTAGCTGGCTCAGTCAAACACGATGATAATAAATAATCAAATAGCTAAAAATCATTGCAATCATTGCAAATTATTGATGGACATTAAATTGCAGCACGGCAAACGGGGCTATAATTTGTAAGCAGCAACAACAACAGCAACAACAATACACAAGAGCCGCATGAACAAATTGAATTGCGGCAATTACTTGCCACGATACGCAGAAAATGCTCCGCACTAAAGGTGGACGAGGCCAAGAAGAAGTCTGAGCAGGAGCCGCAGCAAGTTGGGGGCAAGGAGAGAAAGAGAGAGAGAGAGAGAGGGCTGAAATCAAAATAAAAATGCACAGAAAGTCAAGTTCATAAAAATGAAATCATGCCACAGCTCAGGCAGAAGATCAAAGAGGACAAATCAATAAAAGCCCAGCGCTGAAATAACTTAAAGTCAAGCCAAAGTCGTCCCGGACCCCAGACCTCAGACCAGAGCAGACACCGTGTTCAGTTCAGTTGAGTGGAGCCGAGGCGAGTCGAGTCGAGGCGAGGCGAGTCGAGCTAGAGTTAGCTAAAGCCCTGGCTAGGCAGCTCGACCCCAAAACAACTTGACCTGGTCAAGGCTACAGGCACATAAAATAAAATTATACAACAAATGCCACAAATAAGAGACAGAGACAGAGACAGAGAGAGAGGGAGATAGGGAGAGAGAGAGAGGGCGAAAAACTAAAGCAAACTGTCTTTTGATCTATGGCAAAAGCAAGGCGCTGTCTGCCTCTGCTGTTGCTGATGAGATGATGATGATGATTATAATGATGATGATGATGATGATGATGGGTCTCAATATGGAGCAGCTCGATGCTGCCGCGCGCAGTCTATAGTCAAGAGTAAATTGGCATAAGAAATCAGAAATCACAGAAGGTTGCTGTCCACGTTCACGTCGAGATAAATGGACGCCAGGACTGGACACAAACACACACACATACACAGGCACACACACACACACACATGAAGTGTGCACAGACCATTGCAATATTAAGTAAATATACAAAACGTTGTCGGCGCGGCGCACAAAACTAATGATGTCGATGCGACTGCCGCTGCTGCTGCCCCTGCCCCTGCTACTCCTGCTGCTGCTGCTGCTTCTCCTGCTGCTGCTGCTTCTCTTGCTGCTGCTGCTGCTGCTGCCGAGTCCGAGTCCAAGTCGGATGCTGTGGCTGTGGCACAGACGAGGCTGATAATGATGCGGCTGGCAAAAGTTTAGGACGTTCTCTGTATCTGTATCTGTGTCTGTGTGTATCTGTGTGTGCTGTATGTTTCAGTTCACTCGAGCTCTTTGGCTGACTGGCACTGGCGATATACACACGCCAGGTAATAAATTTCATTTCTCAGCTGATATGGGCAATTAAGGAACAATTTTGCAGCTGAATGAGTAATAAATAAAAATTGTATGCCAGCGATACGCAGATACAAAACTGCAAGAAGTCGTCAGGCAGCCAGATAGTTTTCGGATAAAAATACACAAACCGAACGAGCGAGCGAACGAACGAACGAACGAACGGGCGGACAGATGGACAGACTGACGCAGAGACAGCGAGACGTCAGCAAATGAATGAATGAGCCAACACAGAGACTTTGGGGGCCGGCAACTTGAGACTCTCTGATAGCCGCGCACTCATCAGCCGAACGTAACGAACGAACCGAACTGTGGGTACGGCCACGGGCACCGACAACGGCAGTCGAAAGTCTCAGCATAGCTGGGCGATGCTGCATGCTTGCCCTTTTGATGAAAACAACTCAATGACGTGATTTGTGCGGCAAGCGTTGCGCTGAACCCCCAACGAAGCCGCCGCAGCAGCAGCAGCAGCAGCAGCAGCAGCAGCAGGATGTTGCATACATACATGCATGTGTGTATATACCATTTATGTGTGTGTGTGTGAGTTGCTGTCTCTCATATATAAATCACACATTTTGCCAGCAGATTGACGTGCAAATTCCACAAGTTGCTCAGATACCTGCAGACTTTGGTCAGTTTATAATTTCAGCTTTTGCATAATAAATCACGCAGGGCTTAAAGATGCATAGACATTGAGTTTGGGCCATGTTTTTCACGGCACTCCCTCCCTCTCTCTCCCTGTCTCCATCTCTGTTATGCCCAAAAATATCGGGTCTTTGAGCATTACTTTAATTACACAAAGCTAACGGCGGCAAAGGGCGCCGCAACTCTGGCATTTTTTAAATGCTGCCGAGAGTATAAAAACAAAAATGAAGCAGACGATTCGACGAGTGCCTTGGCTGCCCAATTGTTTGGCCCCGAAGCGCAAATGCGTCGCATCGCTGCCTTTTGGTACATATAATGTCGGCACATGATATGTCGCCTCTCTACCTGAGCGTCCTGCTAAACGGCACCAGAAACCCGCCCAGCAACGGCAGAACAATGGACCAACATCATGACACTCGAGACGGCACCAAAGCCAAAAGCTGCATACAAATGCCATTCAGGGGGCAGCTGTGGCTGCAGGGGGACGGCAGAGGGGGGGAGAGCAGCAACAGTGGCCGGACAGCGGAGCTACCGTTTAAATGTGCTCCATTTTACTGTCAAGTGTAGACCGGGTTGACATTTGGAAAATGCTCTAACCCTAGCTCTCTCTCTATCTCTCTATCTCTCTCTCTCTCTCTCTCTCTCTCTTGCACTCCCACTCTCACTTACTTTGCTTGTCGTAGAATTTTAATTTAAGTATGTAAACTGACATTGAATAGTTTGTCGGACTTTTGCTTTAGCTGCACCACCTTTTGTTGTGGGTGGCTACAAAGCTGAACTCCACTTGAAAAACTGAGTGGGGGGGGGGGAAAAAAAGAAAACCAAACCAGAACGAAAAAGGCCAGAGCCGTGCTGTTGCAAGGTGAGAGCAGGGCGCACCTGAGCGCAATTTAAAACAATTTTAAGTTTTGCAATTTTGTTTGCAATTGGATTCTCTATTACCAAGCGTAAGAGCAATGCACGACTAGCTAATGCCATCTCTAAGCAGATGAGATGAGCTCTATTGAATGGCAGAGATTCTGTCTTAATAAGTGAGTGAATATATATTAATATTAATTAATAAAAAATAATACTTCAACTGAATATAAAATCTAGATCACGCTCTTTTCTCATCTTCAACTTCAGCCCTTCGTGTTGGCCCAACTAATATACCCCATTTGACTACACTTCACAGCGCATAAAAAGCAGCTTCAACCTGCCAGGAAATAGAGTTTGAATAGGTTTTTGCTCGAGCTGGTGTGAGCTACATTTAATGAAAACTGAGCACAGCCGCAGCCGAGCGAATTGAAGTTGTGAACTTGTTGTTAGCTTGATGAGTAGCTGTCCGAGTCCAGGCAAGCCCGGGCCAGGCAAGGCCAGGGTCTAGGCGCAGCTGACAGCCATGTATAACCATGATGCAGTTGACAGCTCGGGCTGCGCCACGGGTGGTGCCGCACAGCAGCCGGCGCTAATCAACGGGCCAGGCCCAAAGCTCATTTTAACTGCCAATCAGTGGCGTCTTATATAATATATGTATGTACATATTTACATCTATATATATATGTATATATTCTTGCTAGTACATACCGGTGTTGAATATGGATGCGCTGTCAGACGCACTCCGTCCGTCTCCAGCTGTTCGGCCAGCACCATTTCCAGTTCGTTGCTGGGCGGCGTCTCGCACAGGATCTCCATGCTGCCCGAGAGTGAATTTGGATCGTTGAGCATGAAATAGACTGAGGCAGCTCCCTTTTCGCGCAGCGAGCGTATGCTCTTGAGCAGCTTGTGTCGATGGGCTGGATTATCGACGCCGATGGCATCCAGATCGGGATCGCCGACTTGTTTGCAAATCTCCAAGTCATCGTAGCCATTGTCCAGGAAGCTTTCCGCGTATTGCGCCAGCCCGAGGGCGCGCAGCCATTCGCAAACAATGTTGCTAACGGCCATTTTGACACCTGGCCAGCTAGCTGGATGGCCGTGTGTGTGTGTGTGAATGATTCGATGTGCGCTCACGTGTGTGCCACCAATTACCGTTACAAAACGGGGTCGTCTATTAGCGCCGCGTCACGTGCCAAACGCGCTGTGCCAACAGCTGTTGCCCTGGCGCTTCTTCTTCTTTCACTTATTGTTATTGCTGCTGCTGCTGCTAACAGCTTGCAATTTCCTTAGCCCGTTACGTTAAAGCTTTTCGTATTGTTTTAAATGCTCTCGTTAAAAGTCATTGCCGCAGGCCACACACACACAGAAGCACTTCCAAGTTGATCTCACATTTTTGCAGTTTCCCATGCCTCGACGCGCTTTTCAAATTTCCTGCCTGCGCTACTGCTGCTGCTGCTGCTGTTGCTGATGGTGCCACATTATGTTGCATGCTGGAAATAAGAAGGAGAAAAAACCACAAACATTTAGTTAGATTCAATTATATTCATATACACATACATACATATACATATATATCTAAAGCATTGCATCAATTTCAATTAAATCAATGCTCGCCCGCATTTGCATAAGATTCGAGCGTTTTCCCACCATTTGGTGAAACACTTCGAATCAATAGCTGCAGCGCTTCGGCTGCAAATCAAAATCAAAATTCTCGAAAATTAATTAAACCAATGGCAGCTGATGCGGTTTCCGTTTGCCACACACACACACACACATACATACAGAGATAGAGAGAGAGAGAGAGAGTGAGAGACACACGCACACAGTCAATAATTCTCACACTCTGGCAGCGCCTTATCGGGCAGAGCGTATAAATGCATGTGGGGCACACACACACGCACACTTACAGGCACATCACTTTATCATAGACACTCTGACGTCGTCTCCCATGTGGGCTGCACAGGAGTTGCCCTCCCCCTGCCGCCTTGCCCATCCCCTATTCACACGCTGAGCTGCCTACGCCTTGGCGCTTTAGAGAATCTATGAGGGGTTAAACGCAAACTAAAAGCTTAGAGCAACCAATCAACAGCAGTAGCAACAACAACAACAACAACATGAACTGCAGTTTTTGGGCGTGTGCCGTCGCTTATTGATAAATGATTGATTATCAGCTTGTGGGTGCGCTGCGGTTTGCTTTGCCTTAGCACAAGAGTTTAGTGTTTGCTTTTAGTTTATCTTTAATGGATTATTTTAGCGGTTGGCAGCAGCAACAATAACGCCAACAACAGCAACAAAAACAACAACAATCATTGCCATAATCCACGCTCTGTTGCCACGCCCAGTCCCCACCAACAAAAATGAGGAGGGCAGCCATCACACAAGTAATTCCTATGTGCTCCAATCTCCCTCCCTCTCTCTCTTCCTCACTCCCTCACTAGCCATTGTTGTTTCATTCTGGCAGCTGTTTTTATTTCATTTTCACATTGCCATCGAATAGATCAATCATGCCTGCTCGACGTGCCTTACAAATGGTTTAATTATACACAATTATTCACCAATAAAACTGTCGAGCAGATGTCAAGAGTTGAGTGGAGCTTTCACAGAAAGACAAACAAACGAAAAGCAAACGAATGAGCAGAAAAATTCAATTTCTTCTGCAATATTTGCTCATCAAGTCAAATCATAAAAACATTAAGTCACAACAAGCAAAGCACACAGGTTGGTCTATGTACGCATGTGTATATAATTCATATATAAATTTACATTCAAATGAGTTTCTGAAGAGTCTCTCAGCTCTCAAATAGTAGAAAGGTGTTCGGACTGTCGTCTTACTTTGATCTCTAGAGTTGGTTCTTTATTAGCAGTCTGTCCTATGCGTGTGAAGGTCTTTTTCACAGATGACACTAGCTCGATCTAGGAATGCTTCGCAGATAACATCAAATATCAAAGTCTAAACACTCTCAGCTTCATTCATAACTTTCAAAGAAACAACTATTTATTCACTTTATAGCTAAATGTGGGAAGATATCTCGAGCTAAAATGGCTTTAAAAATACATTTATCAAAGCGCACACAACTTTACATACTCGACGTCGAGCTCTTAAATGTCCGTTAAAGTCCAAAAAATATAATTAATTACTGAGCTGTCTGTCTCACTGTGTTTAGCCTCAGGTGCAGCTGCCAAATGTCTTTCGATTTATTGCACAATTGCAGCTTTAATTATAAAATGGGCTCAATGCAAACACGAACGGACATACATGTTTATTATTTTTGTTTATATATTGCTGTCATAAGGGGCGGCAACCTCTGCCTCTGCCTCTGCCTGTGCCTCTGCCTACCCCTCGCTTGACATGTCTTGACATTTAAGTTGGCTTTTAGTTAATTTATTGAATACTTTCAATTTCGTGGCCCGCAATCAGTTGCAATGTGGCTGTAAAATTTTAATGTGCCCCGTTCATTATCTGAGCTCGAGAATCTAATTACCAAAAGTGCCTGCACCGACGACATGTAGACCCAGTCCCAGCCACACTCCTGCCACCGCCAGTGCCCACGACAGCGCAGCGCAGTAGCCGTTCGCTGGCATTTTGCGGAGCGCGCGATATGTGACCTGCTCGACTTGCAGCTGACGCTATGGCTAGCCGGCTTTTGATGTCTTTCCTACACACTTTGCAGCAGGGCATAATAACTATGTCGGACAGCAGGTAGCACAAGCAGAAACAAAAGATAATAATTATTTTGTGGTTTTCTAATTCACAATATCAAGAGATGCATCCATTTGGTTGGGCATTGACTATTGAAAAGATCTTTGTAAATTGAACCTAGAATATCTTAAGCTATATAGTTGAATCATTGAACATACATCTAGGGCTACTATAAATTAATAAAAATATATAGAATTATAATAGAAATATATGTGGGAAAGATTATTTAAAAATAATTCATTCATTCATAGATTGAAGAGTTAGTAAATCGAAGTATAGCCTACTTTAAAGATCAGAAATTCGATGATAATTGTTTCATTCCAACTACGGTCCCTGTGAAAATATTGCACAACTCAGAATCAATTCAGTTTAGCGGGAAATGGCTACATTTTGCCTTAGCTAAAATCATAAGACAGTGCAAAAACGACACGAAAGATCTTAAAGGTGACTTGGTAATATTTTAGTCCACTCGCAGGCAGATATACGACATATAATGGTATACCATATATAATAACAGAACTTCAGTATTTTCTATATGTAAACCAATTCTTCCACATAGCCTAAATAAATTTAATATTTAAAATTATTATAAGAGCTCTTCTTATTCAAAGTGTATTCAAGCTTCGACGCACTTCACTTCACACTCGTTTTTTTTTTTTCAGTTTACTCTTAACGCAATTAAAGGCGGCCAAAAACCAACAGCGAACAGGAGAATAACAAAAAAAAAAGAAGAGTAGAGTAGAGTAGAGAAAACAACAGCAAGAAACAAAGCAAACAAAACTTCGCTCGCTGGCCTTTATTATCTTGATGAGCGGCCAAACTATTTTACGAGCTCGCCAACAAGTTAATTAGCCATTGGTATTAATGCGGCCAAGAGCGCCTCAGCGCAGCGAGCAGTTGGCTGAAACGAAAATTTTTGGTGTTGTCAAATGTATTTCACTTTTATTTGCTCGACTGACTGACTGACTGACGGCGGCCTATTTCCTATCATTAATGAAGACGCCTTGTTCTTGCGTTTTCTTCTGCTGTTTTCTTCTTTTTTTCTCATCCGTCTCTCAATTTTTATAATTTGATTTGCTTCTTAATGTTTATTGCCTGCCCTCTCAGTTGGCCAGTTGGCCAGCAGCAACAGCCACAACAACAACAACAGTTGCCCCCTCCCTTAAGCTAATGACAATAATTAAATACTCAAGTGCGTGGCGTCCGAGTTATGCATATTAATTAGCCCAAGTCGCGTAGCGTGTGAACATTTTCTTGCTGCTGTTGTTGTTGTTGTTGCTATTGTTGTTTCCGTTGCGCACCTGCACGCCAAAAAGCAAAAAAAAACGCCAAAAAGGAAAATTAAATAATAAAAGAGGCAAGCGCAAAAAAACAACAAATATTTATATATATAATGTGGCCGGGCAATTGGCGAAGCTGTGCAAACAATTTTAATTAAATGGCAATTGCGCATACGCCGCGTGTTCATGCGCCGCAGATGGCAGATAAAGCGTGGCCCAACTGCCAGCTGACAGCTGTTGGCAGTGCCGCAACGTGTTGCAATAAACGTTACCTGCAACACCAACGCCGACAACATCAATATAAATTTGCCTGCCACAACTTATTGAGGTTCAATTTGATTTGGTCTCGCCTTGTCCACCTCTCACAATTGTTGCTGGCTCTAAGGCCAAAAGTCAACACGATCTGCATAGGGCTTGCTCTGTTGAATTGACACCGTTTAAATACAAACGGACGTGCTATAAACAAATTAAACTTGCCACAGCGCACAAAGGCAAGAAAACAAAACAGCAACAACAACGACGACAACAAAAAAGAAGGAGAATAGCCGAACAAGAATTCGTATCAATTCGAACATAATGCGTTGGGATGACGCCCACGAGTAAAACGAATACGAATCTCCATTGTGAATGAAGGCAACAACTGCAGCACAAAACCAACAACCAACAACAACCAACGGCCAACAACAACAAGTCAACAATTTATTGTTGTTGCTGGCATCGATGATGTTGCATTAAATTTGGTTTGCTGCCCCTTGCCGCTTGCGCTGCTGCGTTGGCGTTGAACATTTGGGAAGACCAAAAATGCCAGCAACAAACGCTGACAAACTTTGACCCAAAAAAATAAAAACAAAATATATATATATAGAGAGAGAGGGAGAGTGAGTGAGATAGAAAAATGCATAGGTAATAGGTCGGAAGTGAAAGGGTTTTATTTTTGAACACGCTGCGGTGCGCTTTGCCGCTGACAGCGCCACAATTTGTGGCATTTTGTTGATAGAGCATTAAGGCATTTAACCATTTACAAAAAGAGGCGCGCCCCCACAAGAGAGAGAGGGAGAAAAAAAACTATATAATTATTTCATTTACGATATGGCTGTATTACAAAGCGAAGACCATCAAAATGTAGTCTATGCATTGACTTTGATGAAAATTGCTTTTATATAGCTCAACTTCTTCAAAAACATAAAAAAGTTGATCTCTCAAGAGTTCAGTTAGAGGGAAAACGAGACTTAAAAAAAAAGAAAAAATTTACATACAATTCAATTATGTTACAAATTGTATACCTTTTAGGCAAACACTTAATAAACTTAGATTCGCCTCGGTAGATAATTTATAGATATTATGATCAGTCAGTCGTAGCTAATTGAAGACACGTTTTTAGCTGATATTTACCAAGTTGCTGTGGGCAAACAGTAGTCGCTACTAAATGGAAGCTTTGTGGCGCATGATATACGATAGACATACATAAGAGTT